TTAACCAATGACAGTGGATACAATTTTCCAAAAATCCTCATTTTTGCCCCAAAGCTTGAATTTTATATTTGGAAACAAATACTGTCAGCTGTTTTCCTGCAAGTGGCAGAGTCCAGAAAATGTCTGCCAAATACACATGTCTGAATTACCAAAATTTATGTCAGTCATACTTTCAAGTAAAAATGATGTTCCATGAAAAAATGGTTAGTTCAATTTACAACAAAAATACTTGTATGAATGTTTTTCCTTGAGACAACCAATGTTCAGAAGTGCTCTATGTATACTTCCCATTTCTTCACATAGAATATTAAAAATATATGTACCCAAAGGTTGAGATTTAATGAATAAAATTCATCTTTACTGCTTTATCAGAACAGATTTTTTTAAACTTTTTATTTTTTATTTTTTAAAGATTTATTTATTTGACAGAGAGAGACACAGCGAGAGAGGGAACACAAGCAGGGGGAGTGGGAGAGGGAGAAGCAGGCCTCCCGCCGAGCAGGGAGCCCGATGCAGGGCTCGATCCCAGGACCGAGACCATGACCTGAGCCGAAGGCAGACGTTTAACGACTAAGCCACCCAGGCGCCCCTATTTTTTTTAAACTTTTAAAAAATTTTATTTATTTTTGAGAGAGAGAGAGAGAGAGCACTAGCAGGGGGAGAGGCAGAGGGAGAAGGAGACTCCCTGCTGAGCAGGGAGCCAGATGTGGGACTTGATCCCAGGACCCTGGGATCATGACCTGAGCCGAAGGCATACACTTAACCGACTGAGCCACCCAGGATCCCATTATTAGGACGTTAAAAAAAAAAAAAAGATTTTATGTATTTATTTCAGGGAGAGAGAGTGAGCATGAGTGGGAGGAAGGAGCAGAGGGAGAGGGACAAGCAGACTCCATGCTGAGCGTGGAGCCCTATGTGGGGCCTGATCCCACGACCCTGAGATCATGACCCCAGAAACCAAGAGTCAACTGACTGAACCACCTAGGTGCCCCCATTAAGGCATTTTTTTAAAAGACTTTATTTATTTTAAAAAAAGAGAGAGAGCATGTAGGAGCCAAGGCAGGTGCAGAGGGAGAGTGAGAGAAGCATAGTCCCCTCTGAGACCTGACCCTAAGCCAGCTGGATCCCATGAATCTGAGATCACGACCCAAGCCAAAATCAAGAGTTGGAAGCTCAACTGACTGAACAACCCAGGTGCCCCTTAAGTGAAACTTTTCTCTTCTCTGTTGAGAGCTTAGCGCTTGGATTTTGCACACCTGGGTGAGAAATCCATCTCTCACTTTCCACATGTACAACCTTTTTTTTTTTAAGTAGGCTCCATGCCCAGTGTGGAGCCCAGTGAGGGGCTTGAACTCAGGACCCTGAGATCAAGATCTGAGTGGAGAAAAAGATTCAGATGCTTAACCGACTGAGCCACCCAGCTGCCCCTATAGGTCCCATTTTTGCAACAGCATTTGCTCACTTCATGTCTCTTTGTCATATTTTGGTAATTCTTGCAATATTTCAAACTTTTTCATTATTATATTTGTTATGGTGATTAGTGATCAGTGATGTTGCTATTGTAATTGTTTTGGGGTGCCATGCATGAACTGTGCCCACAGAGGGCAAACTTAATAAAGGTTGTGTTCTGACTGCTTCACCCACCACCTATTCTCCTATCTCTCTCCCTCTCCTCAGTCTCCCTAATCCCTGGGACACAACAATATTGACATTAGGCTGATTAACCCTATAGAGGTCTCTAAGTGTTCAAATGAAAGGAAAAATGGCATGTCTCTCACTTTAAATCAAAAGCTAGAAATGATTAAGCTTAGTGAGGAAGGCATGTTGAAAATCAAGATAGGCAAAGTAAATTGAAAACCTTCTGTAAAGGATTCACCATTCTAGATGCCATTAAGAATGTTCGGGATTTAAACTACCAACATTAACAGGAGTTTGGAAAAAGTTGATTCCAACCCTCATGGATGACTTTGAGGGGCTCCAGACTTCAGTGGAAGAAGTAACTGCAAATGTGATGGCAACAGCAAGAGAAATAGAATTAGAAGTGGAGCCTGAAGATGTGACTGAATTGCCACAATTTCATGGTAAAACTTTAACAGATGAGAATTTGCTTCTTACGAATGAGCAAAGAAAGCAGTTTCTTAAGATGGAATCTACTCCTGGGGCACCTGGGTGGCTCAGTTGGTAAAGCATGTGCCTTTGGCTCAGGTCATGATCTCAGGGTCCTGAGATGGAGCCCTGAGTCGAGCTCCCTGCTCAGCAGGGAGTCTGCTTCTCCGTCTGCCCCTTCCCCTGCTCCTGCTCTCTCTCCCTCTCAGATAAATAAAATCTTAAAAAAAAAAAAGACAGAATCTACTCCCAATGAAGATGTTGTAAAGATTGTTGCAATGACAATAAAGGATTAATAATATTATATAAACTTAGTTGATAAAGCAGCAGCAGGTTTTGAAAGGATTGACTCCGGTTTTGTTTTGTTTTTAAGATTTTATTTTTAAGTAATCTCTCCACCCAACATGGGGCTCTACCGAGCCAGACAGGCACCCCTGGATTTTTCCAATTTTGAAAGAAGCTCTACTGTCTGACAGCATTACATGCTACAGAAAAATCATCATTCATGAGAAAAAGAGTCCTTTAATGAGGCAAACTTCATTGTTGTCTTATTTTAAGAAATGGCCGCAGCTACCCCAGTCTTCAGCAACCACCACCCTGATCAGTCAGAAGACATCAACATTGAGGCAAGACCCTCCACCAGCAAAAAGGTGATGACTTGCTAAAAGCTGAGATGATGGTTAGCATTTTATAGTTGCACCACTACTTATTTAACCACTTATTGATGGACAAGCAAGGTTTAAGTGAACACCTTCATACACTATTTTTGAACTCATGTGTGAGTGTCTCTGTGCCAATTCCCCCAGAATTGGAAGTGGATTTTGCTAGATCAAAGGGTGAATGCATTTAAAAATGTGAAGGCAACTCCAAACTGATTTCCCTAAAGATTTTATCAATTTACACTCCTGCTAATGGCATATGAGAGTACAACAAGGAACTTGTGAAAATAATTGTTGAGAATGAGATGATCAGGCTCTGAATAGTGGTCTCACCAGTGCTTTTGAGGGAATCCCTCTCTAGGAATTCTGATTTTTTTTAAAGATTTTTATTTATTTATTTGACAGAGAGAGTATAGTGAGAGAGAGAACACAAGCAGGGGGAGTGGAGAGGGAGAAGCAGGCTTCCCGCTAAGCAAGGAGCCCGATGCGGGGCTCGATCCCAGGACCCTGGGATCATGACCTGAGCTGAAGGCAGACACTTAACGACTGAGCCACCCAGGCGCCCCTAGGAATTCTCATATTTATATGAAACCCCTAGTACACAGAACAGTATTGCTCCTTTCTTTGGACTCGCTTTTATGGCTCAATCTTGGTTAAAAACCCTGCCAGCTTATGAGCAGAGGCATTGGGACAGACTAGGGCTTTAACCAAACCCCAGCTTGCCCATTTCTCAGACTTTTGTCCTACATAACTCTTGTAATGGTGAAGCAATCCTCTTCAAATGACAAACCTTTTTCATCTACTAGATCTATGCTGGAGAAGTCCAACCCTGGCTGTTTTTTTCTTCCTTGTCACCAGTGGTGCCAATGCCAGGGTTTAAGAGGTCCCTCTAGGTGAAGAGTTTCAGAGTAGAGTTTTGACCACAATTTTTCTTTTAGCTTCTGTGAGCTTATACCAGACTCGTGTTTCAACTAGACTGTCTATAGGTGTCCTCTTGGAGCCACAGCAAACACCATGCCACTTCCTTGGGGAAGAACATCTGGGAGGTGGCACTGTTACCTGCCCTGCAGGTGAACGCCATGCTGCGTCTCTTGTTTTATAGGCCTGCCTTGATGAGCAAGGGGTGTGGTAAACAAAGTTGAGTTCAAACACTCCACAAGAGTCTCTAAGAACAGTCCTCAGAGTGACTCATTTCTCACTTATAAGCCAAAATTACTCTTTGAGTTGGAATCTGGGGCTTGCTCTCTCCTCACTTTGGTAAGCAATGATGTACTTCTGATTCTTACAGGAAACATCAGAGGGTGATGGATGGAAACATCACCTTAGAGATTTTTGCAGGAGGTATTGACCCTAATGCCCAGTCCTCCAGTTTCGTCTTTCTTAAAGGGGTAGTATGAGACCTAGAGGACTCCTTAAGGGTCCTTCTGATTCAAAAGTACTCATTCACTATGAGTTGGACCACCTGGAAGATAAGTTGAGTCTTGCTGTGGGGTTTTCTATCTAACTGTTCTCTCATCAGGAAAGTGCTCAGAAAATGAGATTCTAAACTTTTGCCAGTCCTGGGACCTTCTAGAGTCTGTGGCAGAATGCCCTGTACCTTGCAAGGAGAGTTCTAGAGAAGGTAGGTGTGGCTGCCCAACTTGCAGGGTATAAGAGGACATAAGGAAACAGGATGTTTGGAGTATTTAGTCTCAAGTTTCCCACATCTGTGGAAAGGGGCTTCATTGTGATGCACATGGTAAAGTTCCGAGTTTCTTCAAAGGATTGATTGCAGGCTCTTAGAACCCTGTTCTTGTCAATGAGCTTATACATGTGGATCAAGGTATCTGGGCTGACGGCCTATACACTTGCTGATACTTATTTATCAGTGTGATTCTTGGGCTTCCCTTTTAATTACTACTGAGGGTTGGAGAAAAGTATATTTTCAGTATGCATCTTTCTGTGGAGGCAATACCCAAAATATATTCACCAAGGACTTATTTGGGGGAAAAGTGGCTTAATCTTCATTGCTCACCACATGACCTTTCTGCAGCGAGATGTTTTCTTTTATGAAAACCAAAGCTACGACTTGACATCTTTTAAAAATTTGTTTCCAGGGCCGCCTGGGTGGCTCAGTCAGTTGAACATCTGCCTTTGGCTGGGGTCGTGATCCCGGCGTCCTGGGAGCACTGGGCTCCCTGCTCAGTGGAGAGTCTGTTTCTCCCTCTCCCTCTACCCCTCCCCACTGCTCATGTTCTCTCTCTCAAAAATAAATAAAATCTTCAAAAAAATTGTTTCCAGTTACAGTAAAGATATTTATCTGTGTTTCTATTGTGTATGTTTCTCTTGGGGGTTTCTGGAGGACTTACCATATAATGTTGTACATATCTAAGTTCTTTCCATTGCAGTCTGAAACCAACCACATAAAGTGAACCCATTACCATCTTCTCTACCTGAAAAAGAAAAAGAATCGTTCCTGCTTAATTTTCCCAACCCTGCCAATAAGTATCCCATTTAATCAATCCTCTGATTTTACATCTATAGTGATTTTTTCTTAAAACCTTTATTACATATTTTTCTGATTACCAGAGTAATACATTACTTATAGAAAAATTAGAAACATAAATAAATAGATAAATAATAAATAAAACCCACTATCCCACCATCCATAGATAATCTATCTCTGTCTGATGTTTGTTATTTTTTTTGTTTTGTTTTTTTTGGTGTTTTTTCTGTATTTAAGTAATCTCTACAGCCACTGTGGGGCTTGAACTCATGACCCCAGGATCAAGAGTCACATGATCTTCTGACTGAGCCAGCCAGGCACCCCCTGATGTTTGTCATTTTGATGTATGGAAATACTCTATTCATTGTAGTATATTTAGAATATTATATACCTTTTGTTTTATAACTCTATTTTTATTTAATATAATGTGAACTTCATTTTTAATGACTGTAGAATCAAATTATATACCACAAGAGTTAGCCATTTTCCTGTAGATATTTAAGGTGTATTGATACTTTTTGATATATTTTTGTGCCTATGTCTGATTAACTTATTTTTTTAAGATTTTTTTTTTATAAGTTATCTCTACACCCTAATAAGAGGCTTGAACTCACAACCCTGAGATCCAAGAATTGCAGGCTCCAACGACTGAGCTGGTTAGGCACCCCAACTCTTTTTTTTCTTTTTAAAGATTTATTTTTTCATTTCAGAGAAAGAGAGAGCACAAGTGGGAGGTGCAGAGGGAGAGAGAGAATCTCAAGCAGACTCCATGCTGAGCATGGAGCCCCCTGTAGGGCTTGATCCCATGACCATGAGGTCATGACCTGAGTCTAAACCAAGAGTCGGATGCTCAACCAACCGCACCACCCAGGTGCTGCCACACCAACTCTTACACATAAATTCCTAGAAGTCCAAAGGAATAAGCATTATTTATTTATTTATTTTAAAAATATTTCATTTATTTATTTGCGAGAGAGAGAGACAAAGAGAGAGACAAGGAGAGCATGAGCAGGGATGGGGCAGAGGGATAGGGAGAAACAGACTCCCCACTGAGCAGGGAACCTGATGTGGGGCTCCATCCCAGGACCCTGGGATCATGACCTGAGCTAAAGGCAGATGCTTAATGACTAAACCACCCAGGTACCCCCCAAAGGAATAAGTATTTTAAAAAAATAAACTTTCACAAGAAGGTAGATCTTTATAACTTTTAAGTTACAAAGAAAAATTTGTAACTATGTGAGGTAATGTATGTTAATTAAACTTATTGTGGCAATCATTTTGCAATATATATGTATATCAAATCAAACTTAAGGTTGTATACTTTAGGGCGCCTGGGTCGCTCAGTCAATTAAGCGTCTGCCTTCGGCTCAGGTCATGATCCCAGAGTCCTGGGATCAAGTCCTGCATGGGGCTCCCTGCTCAGTGGGGAGCCTGCTTCTCCCTCTCCCCTTGCTCTGTCCCCCTTCTCATGCTTTCTCTCTCTGTGTCAAATAAATAAATAAAACCTTTAAAAAAAAAGGTTGTACAGTTTAAATTAATACAATGTTATAAATTATATCTCAACAAAACTGAAAAAAATCAAAATAAAACAATTTAAATTTTAGAATAGTTTTAGATTTAACATTTTTGGGGGGGGGTGGAGGGAGAGAGAATCTTAAGCAGGCTCAGCATGGAGACCAACATAGGGCTCAATTGCACAACCCTGAGATCATGACCTGAGTCGAAATCAAGAGTCAGATGCTTAACCAACTGAGCCACCCAGGCGCCCCATAGAGTAGTTTTAGATTTTAAAAAAAGTTGGGAAGATAGTACAGTTTCCACACAGCCTATGTCCAATTTCCTCTATTACTAATATCTTACATTAGCATGGTATATGTGTCACAATTAATAAACCAACATTGATATATTATTAGCTAACTGATACATTATTACTAAGATCCGTGCTTTATTTAAATTTACTTCATGTTTACCTCATGTCCTTTTTCTGTTCCAGTATTCCATCCAGGATACTATATTACATTTTGTCATCATGTCTCCTTAGGCTCCTCTTGACTGTGACAGTTTCTCAGACTTTTCCTGCATGTAATATCAAGGGTATATACTATCAATATGAATTATCACTGTTGATGTTAATCCTGATAACCTGGCTGAGGTAGTGTTTGTCAGGTTTCTCCAGTATCAAGTTACTCTTCCCCCTCCCCTTTCCATATTTTACTCTATGGAAGGGTATCACTATGCACAGCCCAAACTTAGGGAGAGGGAACTTCACCTCCTTAAGGGCAGGGTTTCTACATAAATTTGAAATTCTTCTGCTTGGAAGACTTACCTATTTTACCCATTTATTTATTTACTCAAACACTTATTTATACCCATACGGATTCAAGGGTATTTATTTTATACTTTGGGCCATCATTCAATACTATTTATTTGTTCAAATTATTCCAGCTTTGGCCATTGGGAGCTCTTTCAGTTAGCTCCTATTATCTCTCTCAGATGTCCTCATTAGTTTGTGTGTGTGTGTCTGTGTGTCTGTGTATGCATGTTTACTATTTTCTTACTTTCTGGCACTGTAAGATGCTCCAGGTTCATCCTGTATATTTCTTGCCCCAATCCTAGACTCAGCCATTTCTCCAAGGAGCCAAGGTTCCTCTTATTGGAGAATGTTATTAAAAAACAAGATGTGGGTACAAGGTATGCATGTTGCTACTGGAATGGCATTTCTTGGTCTAGTATCATACAGAATTTTACCAGTCTGAAAAGTCCCTGTGTTTCATCTATTCAACCCTTCCCCCATTCCAACCCCTGGCAGTTGTTGATCTGTTTACCATCTCCACAGTTTTGACTTTTCCAGAATGTCACATATAAATAGAATCATACAGTATGCAGCCTTTTCAGACAGGCTTCCTTTACTTAGCAATATGCATTTAAAATTCATCTATGTCTTTGCATGGCTTGGTAGCTCATTCTTTTTTATTACTGAATAGTATTCCATGTATAGCGATAACACGTTTGTTTATTCACTTTTTGAAGGAGACCTTGGTTGCTTCCATGTTCTGGTGATTATGTATAAGGCTGTTATAAACAATCACATGCAGAATTTTATGTGGATGTTTTCCTCTCAGTGGGTAAATACCTAGGAGTGCAACTGTGGATGGTATGGTAAGACTATGTTTAGCTTTGTAAGAAACTTCCAAACTCTCTTCCAAAGTAGTTATACCATACTAGCAGTGAGTGAGTTCTTGTTGCTTTGCATCCTCATCAGCAATGAGTATTACCAGTTATTTGGATTTTAGCCATTCTAGTAGATGGAAATAAAAACTTAATGAAAGGGTTTTTTAATCAACTCTATGCCCAAGTGGGGTGCAAACTCATAACCCTGAGATCAAGAGTCACATGCTCTACAGAGTGAGCCAGCCAGACTCGGTAAAGAAAGGATTTTGATACATAATGCCACACTTCTCCTCAGAAACTTTGTATCCGTTTTTCTGGAGTAACTTTTGTTCCCATACTCCTTGTTCCCTACATTTAATCAGGTACGAAGTCATGCGGTTTCTTTATGATTGCTGACAGTAAATTTTACTCCATCTGATAGTCACTCCTCTGATCTGGCTTCCTTACCTCACACCTGGACTGAGTGCAACAGCAAGACCGCTTATTTCCCAGACTCCAGTATTTCCTTGTTCTAACAAAACTCATGCAATGCAGCCAAAACAAAACAAAATTGTAATCATCCCTTAACAATTTTTATCTTGATAACTTTACTTTTCAAGAACTATGGTGGGTAGCCTATTGAACCAAATTTAAAGCCCTTGGTCCAGTATTTAATATTTTTTTAAACCAAATTTCTCTTGAATTCTCATTTTGATTTCTCCGTATTGACCAAGTTAGTCTTTTTACCATCCTGACATACAATTTGAAGACTTACTTCTTTGTCAACATTCCTATCATTTCTTTCCATTTGGAATGCTCTACCTCTTCTGTTTCCCTCAGTCATTATCCTAGCTCAAAATGGTCATAATCAAGCTTTTCCCTAAATAAACTTACTCCATTTTAATTTATCTTTTATTCCCTATCAGTGCTGTAAAATAGTTTGTCACACTGTCTTGAATTTGTCTGTTTTCTATTATTCCCTGTGCATTTTATCTACCTAATCATCAACCTATATATACATATATATGCGTATCAGTAGGGTTGAAAGAAAGTACATTAACTCTTCTGTTTCTTTTGTTTTCTCTAAAGCAGTTGGCACACTGCCATGCACATAGCAGGAATTGAATGAATACTGGTTGAATGAACAGATGAGAAAATTGCAAAACTTATTTGAAATCAGTTTACTTAATTTAAATACTTAATTTTTATTACACAAAATATATGTTAACTATGGAAAATCCAGAAAGGCCTAGAAAATACAAATCTTCAAAAAAGAAAAATAATTTTATAAATCTCTGTATAATTCCATTACCCCGAGATAATTAGTACTTTTTTACTGTTTTTTTAAAAACATATTTTTTAAAGATTTTATTTATTTATTTATTTGAGAGAGAGAATGAGAGAGAGAGAGAGCATGAGAGGGGGGAGGGTCAGAGGGAGAAGCAGACTCCCCGCTGGGCAGGGAGCCCGACGTGGGACTCGATCCCGGGACTCCAGGATCGTGACCTGAGCCGAAGGCAGTCACTCAACCAACTGAGCCACCCAGGCGCCCCTTAAAAATATTTTTTATTTTAGAGACAGTGCACATGTGAGTGGGAGGAAGGGCAGAGGGAGATGGAGAGAGAGAGAATCCTCAAGCACACTAACTGCTGAGTGTGGAGCCCGACATGGGGCTTGATCCCAGGACCCAAAGATCATGACCTGAGCCGAAACCAAGAGTCAGCTGCTTAACTGAATGAGCCACCCAGGCACCCCTTTTTACTGTTTTTTTTTTTAAATATGTTATTTCTTAAGTAATCTCTGCACCCAACGTGGAGCTCAAACTCACAACCCTAAGATCAAGAGTGGCATGCTCTACCAACTGAGCCAGCCAGGCACCTCCCCCACTGGAGATAATTACTATTAATCTCAGTTTTACATGTAACTGACCATACTTTTTCTATGCATGCATGATATTTGAAGTGATGACTATGTCTTATAACATGAAATGCTTAAGTTATGTATAACTTTAAACTTTAAAGTATACCTTTAAAGGTCAAATGTACAAACTATCTAGGTCTAAGAGCGTCACATACAGAAGTATACCGGTCACCTGAAGTACACTTGCTGTTTCTGATTCCCAGCTCAGAGATCCTTCCACCAAATCCTACTTCTTCTTGATAACCCTAATGTATATTCTCCTTGGCATGCTGTCCTTTATATAACAATTCAAGGATTAAGAAATTCTCACAGAGCCCCAAGGAAGAAGGTGGATATTAATTATTCCATTGTCTCTCCTTTGTTGAGAACCTGGGTGATTCCACCACAAGAGGTATTTATATACTCATTAGTTTTAGAAGTTTGAAAAAAGAAAACCCAAAAAACTATTCTTGGCACTAAAGGTGTATAATCAAATGGAGCAACATCACTTACTGACCTCATTCTCTTTTTTTGGGGGGGGAGGGGTAGAGGGAGAGAGAGAATCTTAAGCAGGCTCCATGCCCAGCACAGAGCTGGATGCAGGGCTTGATCTCACAATCCTAAGATCATGACCCGAGCTAAAATCAAGGGTCGGATGCTTAACCGACTAAACCATCTAGGCACCCCTACTGGGCTCATTCTTGTTGGGCAGGCAGTAAGGATAGAGCTTTTAGGAGGGAAGCAGACATTTTGTGTATGGATATAGGAAGGGTAAGCTCAATAGCAGAAGGAACTCTAGGAAACTTTCTGAATAATTTTCTTAGGCTGTGTAATGTGGTAGTCTAGCTGCAGGCATAACTCCTTATTTTTCAAAATATGCCCACTTCCTAGATGTTGCCAGACATCTTGCAGGTGTATTCAACTATAGCTTAAATAAGTAGTAGCCTTCAGTTTCTCAATTAAACTAATATGTTCCCAGCACCTCCTTGAGGACAGACAGTAGATTAGAAAGCTACACATCTGTAACACTGTTAAGGGGGCAGGGGGAGGAAACAATCTAAATATTCAACACTAAAGACTGGATAAATCATGTAAACAGAATACTATGAAGTAGTAAACAAGAATGACAGAGCTCTTTATATGCTAATATGAAATAGCTCTAGAATAATTCAGGTGAGAAAAGCAAGGTACAAAAGTGTGTATAGTAATATGCTGTCATTTGTGTTTAAAGGGAAAAAATGAATGGACATGTACGAAATTGCTTATATATTTAAAAATCTCTAGAAAGCTATTTTCCTTTTTTTTTCTTGGAAAGACAGAGAACAGGTGCATGAAAGACAGGAAGGGGGGGAGAGGCATAGGAACAGGGGGGTAGGTGAGGAGAGGGAGAGAGAGAATCTTATGCAGGCTCCATGCCCAGCACAAAGCCTGATGTGGGGCTCAATCCAACAACCCTGAGCTTGTGACCTGAGCCAAAATCAAGAGTTGGATGCTTAATCAATGGAGCCATCCAGGTGCCCCTCTAGAAGAATACTTTAAAACCTAATAAGATGGTTTGGGCAACTCTTTCTGCCCACAGGTCCTGTCTCCATGCTTCAGTAAAACCATTCTAAGTAAATAAATAAACAAACAAATAAGACCTAATAAGATGGTTTGCTTATAAGAGGGGATCTGAGTATATAATGGGCAAAGTAAAATGACTCCTTTCATTGTATTTTTAAAATTCTTTCTGAAATTTAAACCACGTGAATATATTAACTATTAGATTTCTTAATGTGAAATTACATGGTCTAAGAAATTAACAATATAGTTGGAAAAACCAGAAAATGTTTTAAATTAAGTGTTTCCAGTTGTTATAAAAGAGAAAGATACTAAATTTGGTGGCAGTCAGGGATAACTCCACTAGAGTGCTAATAATTAGCAGGTCTACAAGAAAGATATAATGATTGGATTATTATATCAGTTTATCTGACTGATGAAGTTCCTCTGCCTTTGAGGGTACCAAGGAATCAATGTGATATAGTGGAAAGGGCATGGGTTTTGAGATCAGGTGGAAATAAAGTCAAATCCTAACCTTTCCATATATTGGTCTTATAAGCTTGGGTAAGTTATTTAACCTTTTTGGAGTTTCAACTTCCTCATCAGAAAATGGGTGAAATCTTACTAAGTTTATTATAAAGGTTAAATGACATAACATCCAAGTGCAACGTATTTTTTGGTTTACTTCCTTCCTTACATAGACAGGCTGAACTGAGATGCACTGACATGCAGAAATTAAGTGTCCTGAGAAAAAACAAGTTGCACATGACAGAACTACAGTTAAAGTAGTTAAAGTAGCTTAAGTCCCTGTATCTACAATTTGTCAATCTCATATTTCTTTTTCTTTTTAAGATTTATTTATTTATTTATTTATTTGACAGAGAGAGACACAGCAAGAAAGGGAACACAAGCAGGGTGAGTGGGAGAGGGAGAAGCAGGCTTCCCGCAGAGCAGGGAGCCCGACGCGGGGCTCGATCCCAGGACCTTGGGATCCTGACCTGAGCCAGAGGCAGACGCTTAACGACTGAGCCACCCAGGTGCTCCCAATCTCATATTCCTTATAAAAAAATGAAGATTTTTTTATTACTTCAAAAGTTTAAAAAAAACTTGGGATATACAGTTTCTCCTTTTACCTTTCCCTTTTATGTCTGAAAGATGGTCAAAAGGAAGAGTGCTTTGAAATACGCTATAACTACACCTTAAACAATACTCCTGCTGCTTTTTGGAGGAAAACATTTTATCCTAAGGCTCATTTCTAACAAATATATGTATTTCCTAAAAGAGGGATTTTGCTCTCTACTGCTTATTTAGCATTTGAAAAACCAGTGTATTTTCTTTAGTAGCAAATACCATCTTAAGATACGATGTATCAAAACCAACATTACCCAATAAACCACATTAAACTTATTGATATTTTACATTGAATACTTTGAGTGTGATTTGATATATTCACCAAATGTATTACTTGATATAGTAATTGACTAAATGATTTCTCAGGGGCTCCTGGGTGGCTCAGTTGGTTGAGCAACTGCCTTTGGCTCAGGTCATGATCCTGGAGTCCCGGGATCGAGTCCCGCATCGGGCTCCCTGCTCAGCAGAGAATCTGCTTCTCCCTCTGACCCTCTTTCCTCTCGTGCTCTCTATCTCTCATTCTCTCTCTCTCTCAAATAAATAAATAAAATCTTTAAAAAAATAAATGATTTCTCAGTTTTCACTTTTGTAACACCACATGATGTGGTATGTATAGAAATATCAAATTCGGGCGCCTGGGTGGCTCAGTTGGTTAAGCGACTGCCTTCGGCTCAGGTCATGATCCTGGAGTCTAGGGATCGAGTCCCACATCGGGCTCCCTGCTCAGCGGGGAGTCTGCTTCTCCCTCTGACCCTCCTCCCCTCTCATGTGCTCTCTCTCTCTCTCTCTCTCTCATTCTCTCTCTCAAATAAATAAATAAAATCTTTAAAAAAAAAGAAATATTAAATTCATGTTTAATACAGTCTCAACAATAGTAGTCACCAAAATCTAGAAGATTGGGAGTTACTAAATCCTAAAATGATTACTCAATTGTTGTCAAACTCCTGGTAACAAGTGTCTCAGGTAAAGATCCAGGTGAAACAAAGATTATTGCTCAATCATATTTTCCTGGCTACACGCAGGGTTGGTCACTAGGCACTGAGTAAAGAGTGTATATTTCTCTTTCAAATATATTGGGAAAAATGCATATGCCCAGATTTCCTTTCTCTCTGTTCTCAAGATTCGTTACATTTGTTCAAAGAATTTAATGAGTTTGTTCAGGGAGTTGCATCAGAAATTATTTTTGTATTAATGGTAGGAATGACAAGCAGTTCCTTTGTAATGTTGCACCAGTCAATACCTGTTTTTGCCTAGGGATGTATCCATACCAATTCTGGATAATCCAGCTTTGAAGTGGGTTGGGCAGAGCTGAGTTTTTTTCCTTGGTGCTATTAGTTTGGGTTTTGACCTCTCACACATGCCTTCAAAATTTAAACATCGCTGAGAATACAGGCTAATTAAATTCCATAGATTCTAACTAAAGACAGTACACAGGACATTTATATCAAAATAGTTTTGTAGAAAAGGTACAAGAATTTTTTCCATTTCCTACAACTTATTATCTAGAAAGAACATTCACCTAACATATTCTGCTTATAGAAAAGACTCCCTTTTTTGTATGTGAAATGCCAAAATTAGAAATTACCATGCCAAAGAAATGTTCACAATCTCCAAAATGTTCTTTAAGCTTGGCAGAATCAAATTTTAAAAAATTGTTATGTATATATATTTAATATTTATTTTAGAGAGAGGGATCGCCAGCGAGTGGGGGGAGGGGCAGGGGAAGAAGGAGAGAGAATCTCAAGCAGAGCGGGAGCCTGACCGCGGCTGGATCTCACCACCGATGAGATCATGACCCGAACCAAAATCACCAGCCAGTCGCCCTACTGACTGAGCCACCCAGGCGCCGCCAAATCGTTATATTCTTTTGTTTGTTTGTTTGTTTGTTTTTTAAGATTTTATTTATTTATTTGAGAGAGAGAGAATGAGAGATAGAGAACACGAGAGGGAAGAGGGTCAGAGGGAGAAGCAGACTCCCCACTGAGCAGGGAGCCCGATGTGGGACTCGATCCCGGGACTCCGGGATCATGACCTGAGCCGAAGGCAGTCGCTTAACCGACTGAGCCACCCAGGTGCCCCAAATCGTTATATTCTTTACAGAATTTTCAGATTACAGTTCAAGGTAGGTGAAATACTAAAAATTGCAAATCAAGATATACAAAGACCTTTGTTAGAGTTGTAAGAGAGGAGATGTGCCAAATCTTTTGCTTTTAGCCAACCTAAGTCATATGGACATTCTCTGGGTCAAAGGACATTTGCCATACAAACTTCACCAAACGCCCTTCTGTTGTTCTTTGATCATAGGATTAGTTGAAGCATGAGTATTTTAAAGGCCCTCTTTATTGACAAAGGAGATAGAGGCATAGACATAGGGATAACAGAAGTAGAGACAGATCCTTAGAAGGGGGAAAGACACCTCCGCACGCCGCTCCCCACCCTCCCCGCCAACTGCGGCCCCCTGCCTTAGCTAGCTTGTTTTGCGTCACCGAGATCTGACAAGAATTAGTTTGGTTGGCAGGACCCAGGAGCAGGTGGAAGACTCCTGAAGGAAGAGTAACTAACCAAAATGGGTCTTTAAGTTTGGCACTTTGCTAACCGCCCTATGTTAGTTATCTGATGTATTCATAACAACAACGCAATGAGGGACGTAATGATATTAGCCCCATTTTACAGATGAACGAACTGAAAGTCAGAGATCCAACATAAAACGCCCGTAGGTCACACAGCCAGTAAGTGGCGGCACCAGAATTCCTAACAGCTCCAGAGCACGCACTCTTCACACCGCTTTCAGCCCTACGGTCTGATTTCCTCGAGCTGCTCGCGGCCTTCCCACCTTCCTTGGTGGGACAGTTCCCAGTACTGAGGCATGGCGCTGTCCAGCCCTCAGGCCCGCCGCCTTCCACAAGCAAGAGAACGCGGCGCCGCGAGGCCATCCAGCCCGCAGGTTGTAGAACTGCCGCGCCCAGCCACGTCCCGGCACGCGGGCGGGCCGAATCGCCTCGGGGCGGCCATCCCAAGCAGCCCCCCTGGGTCCCCTCAGCTTCGCGCGCTGGGCTCCACTCGGAAAGGCTGGAGGCGCCAAGCAAGAAGAGCCCTGCCTCCTCGCCTGTCCCAGCCCCCTACCTACACCCGCCCAAAGAGCCAGAGGCGTAGGTTACACAATCTCACCTGTCCCAGAGGTGGCGACCGCCCTAGTGACTGACGCTCCGCTCCTCCAACCAGGGGCTGTCAGGAAGGTGGAGACTAGCTGAGACTGATTGCTTCTTTCCTCCAATCCCCGTGCAGCAACTCTCCGGCCGCAGTCTCGGCGTCTGGCGGAGAGCGACAGGTGGGAGCTTCGTAACCTCCGTACCTCTTGCATCCTTGACAGATAAGCCCCACCAAACTCAGGGTGAATTCTACTCCAAATCTTACCAATCGTTAAGGGTCGTCACCTCTGCCATCATTTTAATCAGAAGTGGAAATTCCCCAACCCTTTCCCGTCACCTCAGAAGGGGGCGGGATGAATGGTACTATTGCGGGCCAATTGTACCACGCGACGTCCTGTGACAAAGTGATCGACACTTTATGGCGCCAATGAAGCCTCCCATTGTCAGGGGTCACTATGACTGACCACAAGGCGAACTAATCCACTTTAAGGTCGTGACGCAATAGTTAGAGAGGTTGACCAATAGACGTAGAAAAAGACCGGAAGTCGGCGCGTGGGGACTAGGAGGCGGGTGTTCGCAACCGCCTAGGCCTACGCGGGTCAACGCAGCTTGGGGGCCGCGAGCCAGCAAGCCGCGCGTGACGAAGAGCCTGAGCGACGGGTTACCTTGGCCAATGATCTGCAGCCGCTGGGGAGCTGCAGCCAGTGGCGAGTGTGGGGGGCGGGAGGCAGCAGGTTAGGCAGTGAGAAGTTAGTGGCGCTGCTGGGACGGGGGGAAGGAGAAGCTTCTTCCTCCTGCTGTTCCTCTCGTTCCCGGGATCGGCGGCGGCGGTGGCTGCGAGTGACTCGGCAGCGTCTCCGGCTCCGCGTGCGAACCATGCTGACCGATGGCGGAGGCGGCGGCACCTCCTTTGAGGAGGATCTGGACTCGGTGGCTCCGCGATCCGCCCCAGCCGGGGCCTCGGAGCCGCCTCCGCCGGGAGGGGTCGGGCTGGGGATTCGCACCGTGAGACTCTTTGGGGAGGCCGGGCCCGCGCCGGGAGCCGGTGGCGGCGGCAGCGGTGCGGCCGGAGGGGACGCGGCGCTGGATTTCAAGTTGGCGGCTGCCGTGCTGAGGACCGGGGGTGGAGGTGGTGCCTCTGGCAGCGACGAGGACGAGGTGTCCGAGGTACGCTTCCAGGACCCCCGCGTCCCATACAGTGTGAGGCATGAATTCTCTTTGGGCCGGCACAGGGCCCGGGCCACGCTCTGGCTCCCCGGGCGGAGCCGTTCTCTGACAGTGATCGGCTCCATGGCGGCAGTGGCAGCGGTGCGGGCCTAGTGCGCCCTCAGCTTACTCTTCAGCCGGCGGCTCGAGCCGGACCGGTTCCCGTCACCATCCGTAGACCCACAATGGGGAGTCCTCTGGTCTCTAAGCTTCGCGCGGGAACAAGGACTCCTCTCTGGCTACCTCCCGCCCACCCCGCTTTGGAGATGGGGGGGCGGGGTCTTGCCAGAGTCCCTGCCCTTGGTACTGAGAGAGCGAGCGAGACTTGGAGAGGGAGAGAGAGAGAGAGACGGAGACAGAGCTTGCTAGCTCAAAGAGCATTTCCACTGTATGCATGTTCCCGGAGTTGAGTTGTCTGTCATTTATTTGCCCTGTGCTTTACCTGTGTATGAAAGAAGTGTTCTTAATTTCCTTTTTTAGTTTGAGACAGGTATGAAGAAGCTCTCTGCTTTTACCCTAAGAAAGCACGTGAGTCTTGCACCTGGGACCTTTTGTGAAGTTATGCAGGAAAAGGAAATCCCAGTGCATCTTTGAACTTCAAAATAGCTGGATAGCTGAAGTCTGTATTTTTTAGGCTTGGAGAAGGTGAAACACTGAACAGCTTTTGCGGCAATTAATGATCAGATCCTTCATTTCTTGTAACTTTTTAACTCTTAACTGTGCCTTTCTAGGTCTGAGCAACCTGGGATGGACGGCATCGTCATCTTTTGGGCCCTAGGGAATAGGGATATATATATATATATATATATTTGTATGTATATATTTTTATCTCTTGATCATGGCTTGGATATAGTACTGTTCCTTGATGGCTATTGTTCTAAGTGCCCAGAGTATTCTATTTTGGTTCTAAGGTGCCTGGTTCATTCCCCTATGGCCAATTATTTTAGCCTCTGATCTTGCTGTTAAAGTACAGAGATTTCTCTGTGTACAACTATCTTGGCTGTTGTATTTGAGAGGAATAAGAAACTATTTATGGGTTGCAGAATACAGTTAGTGCATTGTCTTACCATTCTACCATTGTCTTACCATGTCTGAACAGGAGTTCATTTAGATTTAAAATGTTAGTACATTTTAACTCCAATGTTTTGCTTTGGAAAAAATAGTGTATGGGATGTAAGGAAGCTAGTCCCTTGAATGTCTGTATCTTTGAATTTCACTTTAAGAGAAGTAACTTCTAAGTCAAAGTGGGACAGGATTTTATTTGAGTTATAGAGAGAGTCTCTGGAGCACCTCCACTCTTGTGCTTATGGAAGACTTTCTTTCCTTCTTTCAATGAAAATTGATGAGAGAGGAACCTAAAACACATGTACTTTTTACCTACAAAATGAAGTGGGAATACTTTTAGATTTTAAAGATTAGAGTCTTTTTTTTTTTTAACTTGTAAGAGAGCCTGAAAAGGTTTGCTTTGGTCTAAATGTAATGTCCTTGATATTCTGGACCATTTTTACATAATTTTCATAGGTAAAGTGAAAGATAACTAATTCACTTTTACATAAATAGTATTCTTACATTTTTACAGAGGTAGAGTGATAGTGAGCCTCCAAAGTCATATATTTCTAACTCTTTTGGCTCCTGTGTTGTATCTGGGAAATGAGCTTTTGAAGTAACCATTTCTGTGAGGCTTGTCCACACACACACACGCATGCACGCACACACACACAGTCTCTCTCTTCTAAAGCTTACTGTATTTCATTTGGATTCCCCATACCATGTGATTAAAGCTGTGAGCAGAATCCACACCTTTTTGTTTTTTTGATGTTTATTGTGGAAGTTATTTATTGATGATTCTTGTACTCATTTAGGCTAATGGTAGAACTCCTTAGTTTCCTGTTAAGTTTTCTGTGCCAGGATTTAGATATAAAGTGTATATGGGTGGGCCTCATTTTTGGAATGAATGTGTCTGGGATACCCAGAGACTTTATCATAGTCTTAAGATGATGCTCAGGGTGCACATAGATTCTTTCTTAAGCTGTAGAAAAAGGAAATTTTGTTTTTATGTCTTCTTTCTTCCATATCACGTAGAGAAGAAATTCCTGGAGTATCTAGTCTTTGCTGTACAGTATGTGTGGTATAGTATAGTCTGTATGTTTGTGAGTGAAATGACCTATTTTGCCCAAGCAGATTTCTTTCTTTTTTCTTTTCTCTTTCAAAGGATTAGCCGTTTTCTCCCATATCATGGCCTTTGAATTTCCATTATGAAGAGATCGTAATGTTCAAAAAACACTCACCCAATTGGCATTTGATGAATAATACTAAAATCTTTATTTTTGTCTTCCCTAGATGTTTTAGAACCAAGTATTTAGAATCTAGACATCCAGAAACATAACGAGTTATTTTATAGATTGAGAGCAAAATTTGTCTTGTTCCCCAAATGGGGCAGGACTCGGTGAGAAATAAGCAAGAAATGTGGAGGCCTAGTTTATTTGCTCTGGAATTAGTTGAAGTCTTATACATTTGGTGTACAGAGGCATAGATACTCTAAGGACCTCTCTTTTGTTCATTATGAGAGCCAATAGCTAAGAAAAACCATGCTGTTTTCCCTTGGCTGGCTAAGTTAAAAGACTTTTTAGTTTAAGGAATGGGTTTGGGTCTTTTTGTAAATTTTTTATTAGAATTATAGTAGCTTAGAGAATGCCACCATTTGGGATCTTTGGTTCTTGTTTTAAAAATTGGTAAATATCTGTTTTGTATTTCTTCAGGCATAGCAAGAATGTTCCTTAGCTGTCCAAGGCCTTGAATAGAAATCACAACTTGCATTGGATCCTATTGAAATGTACCATTGTTTAGAATAGAGATCAGGTTGAAAATCCTTTAAAAAAACAATTTTTAAATGTTGATTTTGGATTTGTAGTCTTTTTTAAGCAAGTAAAAAAGAAGAAAATAGTACCTGAAGAAAAGACTTTTGTTAGGCTTATGACTTAATTTTCTGTTATAAGAATATATGTGTATATATATATATGCGTGATATTCTCCTTTTAATTTTTTTTTAAAGATTTTATTTCTTTGAGAGCAAGAGGGTGAGAGAGAGAGCTCGAGCGGGGGTGGGGTGGAGGCAGAGGGAGAGGGAGAAGCAGGCTCCCAAGGAGCAGGGAGCCCAAGATGGAGCTCAATCCCAGGACCCCAGGATCATGACCTGAGTGGAAGGCAGATGCTCAGCCAACTGAGCCACCCAGGTGCCCCCTCCTTTTAAAATTATAAAAGTCATGGGCGCCTGGGTGGCTCAGATGGCTGAGCGTCTGCCTTCGGCTCAGGTCATGATCCCGGGGTCCTGGGATCGAGTTCCGCGTCGGGCTCCCTGCTAGGCAGGGAGCCTGCTTCTCCCTCTGCCTCTGCCTCTGCCTCTCTCTCTCTCTCTCATGAATAAATAAATAAAACATAAAAAAAAAGTTGATACTAAAAAAAATTATAAAAGTCATATAGTCTCATGTTGAAAAACTCAACAGTGTAGGTAGTAGATATAAGGTGCAAAGTAAAAGTCCTTCTCACCCCCACTGACCCTTCAAATCCCATTCTTCAATGATAACCAATATTATAATTTTATTCAGTAAATCTTCTAGGCCTATATGAGCCTATGTAGTGTGTGTATTTGTTTATATATATACACACACTTTAAAGACGGATACCCAGTTAGAGAGCATAGCTTTATATCATATTGAGGTTTGGGTTGTTTTTTTTTCTTGAGGCAGGTGCCTTATTTATAAATGGTAGAAACACACAAACTGTATACAGCAGTTTATAGGAAATTATAGCAAAAGCTTTGTAGGGAATTTTTTTTCCGTGAAAATTATTTTTAGAGGCAAAAGTACAGCCATACAGAATTTCCATTTTGATTTTCTCTCATTGAAGAGATGTGTCATTTGCTTTACAGTTACTTATAATCTATAATATAGAGCAAGGTTTCTCACCAGCAACATATTGACATTTTAGTCCAGATAATTCTTGTTGTTAGAGGCTGTCCTGTGCATTAGCAACATCCCTGGCCTTTACCCACTAGGTGCCACTAGAACCCCTCCAGTTGTGAGAGCCATTAATGTCTCCAGACATTGCTAAATGTCTCCTGG